CTTTCGCGGCGAAGAAGGCATCAATGACCTCGCACTGTTCGCGAAGAGAGGCCATTGCCTCGTGACACAATACTTTGTGCCGGGCACGAGATCAATCTCGTGCCGTACGCCTCGATCCGGTGGGAGTTGGGTCGGTGGGTGTTTGTTCACCACGTCCGCATACTCCGTCACCAAAGGATACACCGGATCCTTGGGGTTCTTGAGAATCTCAGAACCCAAGCGCGCCTGACGCTGCTTGTTCATGTCTTCCAGGACGTTCTCGTCCAATACAGAGGAGGAGTTCAGCTCCTCCTGAGTGGTCTCAGGTCTCATGAGTACCATCTCAGCAATCTCTCCAGCCTTGAGGTTGGCCAGGAAAGACTCAGCCGTCATTTCCTCGAGGTTCAGTATCTCTGCAACCTCTGGCAACGGTTCCAAGTGGACACCAGATGCCTTGACGGGTAAACCCGTCTCGCTATCGAAGATGTGATAACACTCTTCCACCGGCCTTGTCGGAGGAGCCCGGGCCCTGGACTCCGAGTCGCTTGAAGCGACGTCGATCGGAACGAAGTTCGGATCCGACTTGAGGCGGCGGCGGCGTCTTTGCCGACGGCTTCTGTGACGGGGAGCTTTGCTGCCCACGTCTAGGGATGTCGTCGCTACGACATCCGAGGCACTCGTGGCCTCGTGTGGTACTGTTGTACCCACACAGGAAGCGTGTTCAACGCCTTCCTCTTCAGTTAAGGTCTGGGCGACCGCGTGTGGCACTGTGTTACCCACACAGGAAGCGTGTTCAACGCCTTCCTCTTCAGTTAAGGTCTGGGCGACCGCGTGTGGCACTGTGTTACTCACACAGGAAGCGTATCCGACGTCTTCCTCTTCAGTTATGGTCTGGGCGACCGTGAGTGGAACTCTGTTACCCACTCTGAACACGCTGTTCTCAGTGTTCATGACAGCTGCAGCTGTCTGCGGAACTAAGTTACCCGCCTGTGGACCTAAGTTACCCACTTGGCCGGCGCCTCTTCTGGGCGCGGCCACCATCAAAACATCCTCGGAGTCGTCATATACGTCGACGACTCCCAAGCATCTGCCGGATGCTTTGGTACCCTGGCAGCCCTCGCGGGCGCCCCGGGTCCTGACAGAGGTGGGAACATGACTCACCAATGCTCTATCGGACTGCGCAGGGCGGCTGGCACCGATTGCCTTGCCTCGCCAGTCGATCCAGGGCTCGTGCTTCTCAAGCCAGGGCATGCCCAGGATCATATCATATGGATCCATATCGAGAACAGTGAACTGTTCGAGGCTGTCAAAGTCTTCAAACTTGACAGCCAGATCCACTTGGACGTTGGGGACAGTGACGACCTTCCCGTCGGCCAGTCGCACTGACACCGTCCCGTTGCCCTTGCTTTCTCGCAAAGCTTCGGACAACTTGTTGCTGTTACGAGCAACCGTCTGGCGGCGTGCGAAATTCTTCGACGCCCCAGAGTCAATCAAGATTCTAAAGGGGTGATCGTACCCCCGTACACATCCGTGTACTACGAGCAACCCGCCGCTGCTCTTCGCCGATTCGAGAGTGCGAAGACTCTCAGGGGCTAAGTCCCCGTGGTACGCGCCACCCGCGCACCCATCACGAAGACTTAGTTCTTCCCCAGTAGGGCGCCCCGCCCCTACTGGTTCCCTGCGTTCCCCTGTCCCCGGGATCCTGGCTTCTGCCAGCGACCCTTGAGGACGGGCTTGGGGAAGGACCGTCTGCGGAGTCTTTCCGCGGGACAGTCGCGCTTGAAGTGGCCCATCTTCCCACAGCCGAAGCAGCGGATGTCACGCTGTTCGGCGGACCCGAGTTCCATGGGAACTGGTCCGTTGGGGCTTGTTCGACCGGGAGCCGACAAGGAACTCCCAGGCCACGCTGAGGCCGGCGTACGCGCCTGGCGATGGCTGTACTCTTCTTGAAGAGCCACTTGAATCGCCTCTTCAAGGGTGCTTGCCTGCACCCGGAACAGCTGAGTGCGTGCGGGGCCCACTCGAAGGCCGTCCATGAACACAGTCATCTTGATGTGTTCATTGAGTGGGTTTCCCACTAGGGACGCCGTGAGCTCCCGTATCTCTTGCACATACTCGTGCAGTTCGCGTCTTCCTTGTTTACACGCGAGGAAGCGCGAACGCTGGCGGTACTCGTAGTTCGCCGGGAGGAACGCGGCTCGGAGCTGTTGGCACAGCTGAGCCCAGGATGTGAAACATCCAGGGGATGTCGCTTCCCGAGTGTACACCCAACTCTTAGCACGACCGCTAAGGTTGGAGAGTGCAAAAGCAACACGCAGTTGCTCGGTCGAGATCAGAGCCGCGTCCATCGCGAGCTCTACTTCTCGGACCCAGAAGTGAAGGTTCTCGCCTTCCTTCCCTTCATACGGCTTTACCTTCAGCCGTATTGGCTTCGGGTGAGGCGGGTTTGCTTCCGCCGCCGGAGCCTGCAGGTTCTCCCGCACATGCGCGATGAGGCCCTGCTCGTACGCGTCGAATGCATTGACGCGCTCGAGCTGCTCAGCCGGTGTTGATACCACCAGGCTCTGCAGGGCCTCCATCCCGAAGATGCCTGCCATCTTCCGAACCGACTCGAACTGAGAGTCGTTCATATGGGAGAAGTCGTTCCTATCCATGGCAACGAACTTCGGAGGTTCAGGTAGTCTACCCGCGATGGCGTGGATTGACTACAAGTGCTACCAAGTGTGACGGGGTCACACAGCACCTTGCGCTAGAGGAAGTTATCTTCCGAGAGTATACAAACTCTCAGTGAGCGGCAGTTCACAGGTCCCCTCTTTAATTAAAGAGAGCGAAGTGACCTAAATAAGGTAGATTGTAAACTGAGTATATTTATAGGTAGGTTAAGTTTGTGGTTAATACAAACTATCAGTTACCTATAGAAATGCAATGTCATTTAACCAATGGTTGGTTTTGAATGACCTTGGTACCTTGTACCAAATATCCCGGAGTATGACATGTCATACTCCTGAAGTGTGAAGTGTCACACTTCATGTAACCAGGGTACACTTAGTGCTACGTACCCCGTTACAACTATAGTGTTGAGGAAGCTCGCAATAGGACGACTGAGTCTTAGGTTTAAGGAAAAATCAACTCTGGCTTTATTTTAGGACCAAGGCCACAGCCCTGGCCACTCAAATACACGTCATAGTCCAATTGGCTAATAATGGGTCTGGCTCCCCATATATCAGCCAATGGCATGACAGCATTTCAGCACACGCTAGTCGTGTGCTGATGCACCTACTTATGTAAAGAAATCTACCTACTTATGTAATGGAGGGGCCCATTACATTACCCCCCTCTTAAAGTTGCACTTACGCAACATAAGCGCTGATGAAGAACATTGGAGAAGACTGCTGGAACGGCGGAGACAGCGGCGACAGCGGCGACACTCGCGACATCAAGCCACTGGCGTATCAACAAGAGACACCACGCTCGGCAGCGAGCGTGGTGTACTTCAAGATTCGACTCAAGGACTACTTAGAATCTAGTTTAGTGAAATGCATATACTTACATAGGATACCAAGGGAATGCTAACAAGCACTTCCTTGTAGCCGACAAACAACTAACCATTTCAATCTCACTTTCCCATTTACCTTCTTCGAGGCACATCAACTGCCTCCTACGCCTTACCTTCGAGTCCCCATCGTTGGACTCTCGCCGCCCTCCTCCGCTTCGCTCCTCGCCACGCGACTCGTTCCTCGTCGCTGTTCCTCTGCGCCGTGCTCGCACCAGTCGTCACACTTTGCTACATGGACGTGGTCAGACTTGAGTGTCGGTTTGACATAAGTGGCCCAAAAACGCATATTTGTCCAATAATATGCCTGAGAGCCCCCTCAGGCTACAAACATTTTTTTTAAGAACATAAAAAGATTATTTCAGTACATTTCGGGTCCAATATCTTTTTGGCATCTCTCACGTTTTTTTAAGGATCCAAGAGGAGACACACTAGTCATTTAATTATTACTTTTACTTTAGCATTAACTATTTATTTAGGTTTTAACATAATTGGTATAAAAAAACATAAATTAAATTTTTTAAATTTATTATTACCTAGTGGTGCAAGTATAGCATTAGTTCCTATTTTAGTACCTATTGAATTAGTTTCATATATTTTTCGTGTTATTAGTTTACCTGTAAGATTATTTGCAAATATGATGGCTGGACATACTTTATTAAAAGTAATTGCAGGATTTGCTTGGACTATGTTAAATGTTAATAGCTTTATTTTTATAGCACATTTTATTCCTTTAATAATTATTGTTTTATTAGTTGGTTTGGAAATAAGGACGTTTATTACGTGAAATACGTTTCTGAATAAAAATTTTTTTTATTTTTTTAGAAGTTTTTGCATTTGTATGTGTACGTTGTCCTCTAACGGGTAATCCTTGACTTTGTCTAATTCCACGATTACTTTTAATTTCTACTAATTCATTTAATCTTTCAGTTTTAGCTTTTTTTAAAAGCTGTTCGACTTTTAAATTTTTGTTAATATAATTAACAAGTCGGTTTACGTGGTTGTTTTTAAGTTAAATCTGAATTAATTTTAAAATTTTGATTATTTAAAAAACGTTCATAATTTATATTTAAAATTCCTAATTTATTTAAATTTTTTTTTAATAAAAAAAGTGATTCTAAATCAGTTAAATCACCAATAATACCTTTAATTTTAGAACTATCAGTAGTTATTAATTTTTTATTAATTATATTTAAAGCTTCTAACCATGAAATTTTATGAAAATTATTTTCATCATCTTTTAATAATGGATATTTTAATCGTTGATACTTTAAACTATCGAAAAAATATCTTGTCTTATTTGAAATCCATTCTTTATTAATATTAAAGTTAGTTTTAGGTAAAATACGTACAATTTCATTATTAAAAATATCAATTTTAATATTTGAACCTATACTATCTAAAATATCAACACCTTCTTTTTTTTTTAATTCCCATGAACGTGCTTTAAATGTATAAGGTTTTGACGTTAAAGCACCTACAGGACATAAATCAACTAAATTACCAGAAAATTCTGAATTAAAAATTTTTGGATAATAAAAATTAATTTCTGTTTTATTACCACGACCTGTAGTTCCTAAATCATCAATTCCACAAATTTCATTTGCAAAACGAACACAACGTGTACAATGTACTAAGCACTTTTGCCTTTTTTCATTCGTCCTTTGGTCTTAAAACACACACGAATATTTAACCTTTTCGATCAGTTTACTTGTTTTTGCGATCCACGTACTTCGGTTTGTTCAGCTTTACTCCTATTTGTCTCATCGACCCATCAGCAACGATTCTTACATGTTTTTATTTCATAGCACATTTCGAGCGACGATAATTAGAACGGCCCACTACCAACACGGTCAGTTGTGATCATCATTTGAGCGTTTCGAGGGCCGCACCAGCAGCCAGGCCAGCTGCTTCATGTTACTTGACGGTGGCGAACGTCCGCTCTCATCATCCACACGGATCAGCGGACGAATGGTTCGTGACACCGCGTAGGGTTCGTATTGATTGTACAGACCATCCATCGACTCGTTCGGGTGCAGTACTTGGATCACTGACTCAAGATATTGCACTCGCTTCCAGAGTTCTCGCACCATATCTTCCAAATCCCTCGTGCGTTGTTCCTTGTGGTCCCGCGCACGCTGCGCGGCAACCGCGTTCTTCCGTTTGCGTATTTCGTCCGCGCTGAGAGTTTGCATCTCCTGGGGCGTGAGCGTAATGGTCTCTCGCGGTCTGCGTGAACGAGGTGTTTGTGGACATTTCCCGATTCGAATACGCTCGAACGACGAAGAAGGCGAGGCGCTCATACTCAGCAATGCCGATACATCGTTCGCACTGACCGTCGCGGCCAGTCCTGGCCGCTTGATTGCATTCTGGTCGAAGTCCGCTGGCATCGAGGTGTACTGCGTGGAAATTGCGAAATGGATCCCGTCAAAGAAGACAATAAAATTGCGAAATGGATCCCGTCAAAGAAGACAAGCACTTTGCCTGCAGTGGGTGCGTATTGTACCCACCACTATAATAGTGGGCCACCAAGTCTGACATGGTATTTTCTGAATATGTATAGAGCATCTGATCGATAATGGATTTTCTGGGTTTGGTTTATGACATGTTATTATATTAGACGGGTGCGATGACGACTGTCGGAATCGTATCCCTCTTGATCTCGGGTGTGAGCGCTTTTAAAGTTTATAAGATAAACTATAATACCTGTACAATATGTATTTCCAATCCAGTTTGGTATGTTGTTTCTGATGTTTCAAGTAGGGTCCCTGTTCGTGATTTAGTCCTTCATATCGACATCGCTCGAGTTGGAGAAGGGAGTTGTGTTGAAAAGCCACTCGAGTTCTTGCATGTTCAGTGCAAGGCTACCTTTGTCAGTGTCGCTGTCTCTCAGAGGCTCTAGATTGGGCGAGTCGGCGTATGACGTACTTGCTGTACAAATAATCCATTGGCTCGTTGGGGTGCAGCAGCTTGATGACTCGCTCGAGGTATTAACCACGCTTCCAGAGCTCACACACGGTATTCTCCAGATCAGTCACACGATGCTGCGCTCGCCCTCGAGCGCGCTTGGCAGCCACCCGGTTTTTGAGCTTTCGGATCTCGTCTTGACTCAAAGATCGCTGTTCTTCTTCTGTCAACTTCAACTTGATCGTTTCACGCGGTCGGCGGCAGCGAGTAGTTATAGGGTATTTACCAACTTGAACCAGCTCGTGCTGCACCCGCGAGGATGCACCAGAGCCCAGAAGAGCGGCAATTGTGGTGGCGCTAACGTTCATGGTGTTGATGGAAGATTGCAATGAGCTGTGAGTCACAAAGTAAGTTGTGGAATGTCTTCTCGTTGTCAGCTTCACTTGACATGCATGCTAGTCAACCGCTTGGGTTGAAGATTGACTTTGTAGGTCATGTCGGAAATTGGAGATACTGTATCCGGAACGCTGTCACTGAATATTGTAGTTTTCAAATATATGATCCTTTTCCGCGGCCCAATGGATACAAACATCTTCGTTCGCTCAATCGTCAAGCTTCAACTTTGCAGAGACTTTTGTGAGAGTGATGGTGCATTTTTGAGCAATAAGGCTTCGAAGCTGGATAAGCCGAACCGGAGCAATGCAACGTGTGCCACCCTTGCGATGAAAGGTTACGCGGCGTTAAGAAAATGACAGCAAGCCGGAGTACGCAGTATAATGCATCCCACAGTGACGAGCTCCATAATTCGAGTGCCTTTATTCGTGGAGTTACACAGTCGCCATGCTCCTTTCAGCTGGATTCAGTGCACGCCCCACCTGCTCATGCGCAGTCACGCGTAAAACTTTCAACATTGTTTCAAGTTTATGTACAATTGAAATTATAGGTTATTTACGTTGAATGTTGGTTTTCCACCTCTCTTCATCTACATCGGCTGATCTTCGTTGCTTGGATCCATCGGAATCGAGTCCAGAAGCCACGCGAGCTCGGTCATGTCGACCTCATTGAGGCTGCCAGTGGTGAGAGGCTGTAAGCTTCGTGACACCTCGTACGGCTCGTATGACTGGTACAGCCCACTCAAGTCTTGGTTGGGGTGCATCGACGTGATGATGCCCTCCAGGTATTGAACTCGCTTCCACAGCTCGCACACCATGTCCTCCAGATCCTGAACGTGCTGCTTCTTGCGATCACGGTCGCGTTGCGCTGACACGCGGTTCTTCTTTTTCCTGATCTCGTCTGCGCTGAGTGTGCGCATGTCTTCCTCTGTGAGTGCGATGGGTGTCCTTGGACGACGCGTTCGGGGCGGCGGGCACTTGCCAATCTGAACTGCATTATTGCGCTGGGGTGACGACCCGCGTGCCAATAGCCCGGACACATCTGTAGCGCTAATCGTGGCAGCCGAAATCGGTCTTAATGTTTCTTGAGCCATCGTGACTTCAGACAAATGTGCTCTTCCAGGCAAATTGACTAATGAGCTCAGACATGTACGTGTACGCGATGCCGCTTGGAAAGCTACAATACCAACACTCACGGTATGTTCAGCAGCACCTCAGCACCAGCGGTAAGACGACTGCCTTAGTGGCTTGACGACATGGCTTGATAATATCAAGATTTGAAGCTATGACCGGCATTTGGAAGTGGCTGCAACTGATGAATGCAAAACGCAGTCCGAGTGTACCCAATTTGAAAATGGATTTTGTCGTTAATGCCACATAGCGGATTCCAGTAGACGAATATGACGAGGACGTCGGTCTCAAATCGTAGCTTCAGACTGCCTCATCTGTGCATTACCCAATACTGTACTAGTACGCATGACGCCCCATGAAGTTGCACTAACGAGATTAGTTGTCGCGAAAAAATGTGCGGTCACGGTCGACGTATTATATTCGTCTACAGGTATCTTCATTTCCACGTCACTACATGTTTTAAACATATGCTTAAAATGTACCGACATTCTTGAGAAAATAAATTCGCTTGTGGGCTTCCGCTGCCACCCGCTGAGGTGTCGGCTTGTCATGCAGCTGCGATGGCTTGAAAGAAAAGAACAGCTCTCCCTGTTCAGTCATGACGTCGAAGCCACACCAGAGCATGAAGGACTTAGCGAGCTCGTCTCCTATCGCGCCCACGTTTGTAGCGAAAAACTTGTTGCTAGCGCGAATCCGCTGGAATTTCGAGTCCTCCGGTTGTCGCGCGATGTTATCTAGATAGCGTAACGCTGCGTTGGAACAACATAGTCAGTCGCGGAGTAGCAGCACTTGTCTTTAGCTACATGGCTACATACCTGCAGAAATGGCGTTCTGGCGAGATGAAGGCTCGCTCGATGACAGCAACTTCCTCAGCTCTTGCATCGTTTTCCCTAAATACAAAGGAGATTTAGAACATGATTCAAATAACGCAATGAGCGTACATACCTTCGAGTGCGTTGCCCGAAGACTCAAGCACAAACGCGCTGAGATTAGTCAAATGATCGCCAACTTTGAACGAGATGGAGCGGATCTCCGTATCTGCGGGTGTGGCCACATTGAAGTCGCCTCCTCCCTTGCCTCCACATGTGATGGAGCGACCAAAACTGGTGTGTAACGTGATGCTATCGGTCCAAGCTCCTGTACGTCCACTCACTCGTGAAACAACCTCGTCTTCAAGCAGTTCCAGAGTGACGGTGGCGTGTGATGCGTGACGCTTTGCACTGCCATTTCCCACCAGCGTTCCGAACACTGCAGGCGCACCTGCTTTTTCGTACACGAACTGAAGTCCGTCGAAGAAGTCACCTCCCCACACTTGATTTTTACAGAAAAAAAACACGTTAGAAACCCGTACGAACATCAATTCAGAGAGACTTAACGTACTCAATACTCGTGCAGCACGATACCCTGACTGCGCTCCAGCTGCAGCTTCACCACATTTCTCTTCACTGCGCTCTCCATCAGGTCCAAACGCCTTCAAAGGTGGCGCAGACACGAAGCTCTTCATAGCAGCACAGAAGGCTTCCATCTCTCCAAGAGACTTCGCTGGGATCACAGCCACGTGGCTCACAACAGCAGCGATGCTCGAACAACCGCTCGCAGGTCCAATGATAGTAATATTCTGTCCATCGGCTTGCCATTCTCCGTCCACTACTGCTGTCTGCGCTCCGTTGACATAAACCACGATAGAACTCCCACCTCGTGCTATAGCGATGTGTGCGTATTGGCCAAAGACTAGCAACGCGCTCGCCTTCTGAGCAATGTTTCCGCCTTTAAGTTCACAAGAGAACTTACGTTCGGCTTGATGCCAACTGACACGAAATTCCACTGAGTTAAACCGCACAGTGACAACACTCACAACGTCCAATATCTTCGTTGTCAGCTCTTCGTTTTGGTCGATACGAGCGAGGAAGGAGAGCACAAAGAAGGTAGGTATGAGCTCTCCAGAGACTGCCAAGCCCTTGTCTCCACACAGCTGCATACCAAATGCTTTACCGTTGTCTTGACTGTCCGTATCCGCATCGATTACCTGGTCTAGATGTGGGATCCGAAAGGGCTTACGCAGTGCACAATGCTGCGTGTTCTTGACGTGGCTACCATGACCGGAAATGTCGAGAAGAGGCGCACGGGAAGGAGGATCTTGCAGTGGCAAGTACAACAGCGGCTGGCATTCCCACAAGAAGGAACGGAGCTCCATCGTCTTCGAACACTGCAATTGCGACAGAGAATCTGGCGAGAATCCATTCGAGCTTAAAGCTGTCGCCACTTGAAGCGCTAGTGCCGCTCGCTCATTGGCATCCGACACTTCCGGAAAACCCAACGCCGTGCGGCCAGTACAGCAGTAAGGATTCCAACAGCCTGCAGATTGACACCCGACCACCAGATTCTTACAGATTTGTTGTAAAGTATCTGCAGCATTCACAGTAACGACTGTCTTCGCTGTAGACGAGGCACTTGCGGTGTCTGCCGATGCTGCTCCTTCCTTTCCGTCTTCATTCCGCTGACTTTTCCACTCCGCAGAGCCTGATACTCGGCCCTGAACCTCCGTCTTTTGAGCCGAGCGTCCACGTTGTAGCTCCTCATGCTCACATTGTGCACGATCTGTCAGAACTGCTGCTCTCTCTGGTGTTTGTCGGTCCCGTAAGCCCTGGTTTATCTGGCTTATCGTCGTCTGTAGCCACGTTTCGCTCACATCTTGTCGTCTCGCGCGCATCTCAGGCCAGTTTCGGGTATATCTCCTCGCTGTGTCGACCACTTCATCATGAGCGAATGAGAAAATGTACGACAACTTCTTGCCCCAGCCAACCTCGTACGTTAGAGGACAGTCCAGTTGGTCTTCGCAGGAATCACAGTGTAGCCATCTCTTAAAATGCTCCGAGTATACCTCTGTCCACACATGATCTGTCACATCCAGCACATACCGTGCTTCAAAGCCCATGGCGCGACAACAGAGCGTAAAGCAATTGGCCCATTCGCCGCACCGTCCAGTACGAGTGTCCAGTAACTTGATGGGGTCGTTATAACGAGGGAATCGAGTGAGCGCTCCACATGATGAGCACATGTAAACCTCCACGCGACTTGCCTGACCAGCTCGTTCTTCGACAGTATTGGGTCCTTCTGTTCGCACTGATCGCGTCTTGTCATGGCTACAGCTTGAACATCGAGGCTGGTTCATCCACGTAAAGAATTCGCACTTAAACCAGTGCAATAATTGTTTAACCAGTTCATCTTGATATGACGGCATTGGCGACTTGTTCGCACGTGCACGTCCATGTAGCGTGTCCACTGGGATACGCTTGAGTGCTTCGTCTTGCATCTGCTTGTTCTCATACGACTGTGCGCGTTGCAGTCCACTCTGTAGTCGCTTCAGCATACCTGGTTCATGCTGACGATAATGCGCATCCATCAGCGTCATATCTCCACGTCGTCGCTCGGCTGCTAAAGTCAAGTAAGCGATACTCAATTGCGGCTCTTTTAAGTCGAGTATACTCGTCACTCCAGTCATATGACGCGCGGCAAAGAGACACTCGCCGAAGTCACTATGCTGTCGACTGGAATCGCACACAAACCCACCGAGAGGTGCCAGTCGATAGTACAGGAAGACACACTCAGAGCCTAAAGCGCCATCGTTCAGATCCCGTGGGATCTTTATGTAGTCCGACGATGGAGCAGGTTGATCGCCCACGACTACAGCGACGTCAGTGATAGCCAACGTCGTCAGCTGCTCCATGTTGCCTTTCACTTGCACTGAGTCGTATCCGATACGAAGTTTGGCCTCAGCAAGTGAATTACAGTCGACAAGGATCACTTTTTCGGGGTCATTTATCGAATTGGAGAGGTGTTCATACAGCACGTGGAGTTGTGTAAGTGCACGCGGCCCTCCACGTTGTACACATAGATACACGTAGTCACCCGACGCAGAGTGATTTAAAGCCACAGACAACTTGGTGAACCCTGACGGCGCAGCGACGTCCACTTCACCGGTTACAACAGTGATGTCCGAGATAAACCGAGACGTTAACGTCTTGGACGCGTTCCATTCCATGGGATGCACAGGCTGGAAATCTGCAGCAAACAGCGATATCATTAAATATATATAATATTAAAAACGTGGTCATATTCGCCGTCGACTACACCTCACGTACCTGTCGTGCAGGTCCTAGCGCATGGTTCGCAGACGAGAGTGGCAAGTGGGTCGCTGTCGGTAGACGTAATCTTCCGGAAGGCTGGCTGTACGACTGATGCGTCCCCGAACGTGCTCTTCGTGCAGATCTGTCTCCAGTCGCTTGCCAGTTCAGGGCTGGACGCAGAGCTCGAGAAGAGGAAGAGGCGCGCGGTGGACAAAGCGATGGTGGCCACGTCACGCTTGCTAGGCGAGTACAGAATCTCCCCACTGGAGGACATCAATATCTGCTCTTCCGGCATCACCCCCACGAGCGACAGAAGTTGGCATTGTAGTAGATCTACTGGAAGCGTCTTCCGATCCGAAGAAGTCTGCGTCGACACGTAATATCTGCGTTTATAACGATAATTGGGCGCAAGCGATGCGTGAGGTTAGTTCGTATGAGTCTTACATGTGGCAAAGCGCTAACTGCTGCTATTTAACGCACTCCTGGCGATGGTAGACAATGATGATATCCATCGTCGCTATTGCTTCCAATTTAGACGCAGAAGGTTGCCAATCTGACTTTTAAAAACGTTAGCTAAAAAAAACGTTCAATTACATTTTTTTACATGTATCAAGTTGCGTTTCCCAACTTGGTAAAAAACAACACTAATGACAATTTGTCAATAGGATTATCTTAACCTTGACGCAAAAAAGAGACAGTTTGCCCGATATCTTCATTATACATTTGCCGGTACAAAAGTGTTTTACAGCTAAAAACTGGAAGAACTTACTTAGCCCTTTAACAACAGAGCCTTTGCTACAGGTATAACGGGACCTCTACCAAAACCAATCGATACAATCGAACACGGCCCTGGGTTTTTCAGGACAGTATTTTTGCCAGAATGACTCGCAGGCAACAAAACATGTTTCCCAAAGCATGGTGCTTGTTATTGCTACGTAATACAAATAATAAGACGCATTGACCATAGTTGCATCTAATTCTTGGAGCTAGAGCTTCGGACAGTATAATTGCGTTTTAACAAGTTTGTTAGTGCAATCAAAGCATTTTCGAACATGTATTGGAAATGTTTCCCCAAGCTAGATAAAACCGCTGCTAAGTCGCCAAAAAGTCAGCTCCTTCGTATGGATTTATATAATCCAGAGCCTGCCATTTTATTTCGGAGGTAGTGCGCAAGACACTCGCAGCTTCATCCCGTTAAACTCCTTGCCATCGAAATCTTCGACAGCTCGGTTCATGTCCTCTGCACTACGCAGCGTCACGAAGCCAAATCCACGAGCAGTAATGCGCACGGTCTCGTAGCCCAGGTACTGGAAGAGGAACGACAGTTCCTCGCGCGACGTGCCCTGCGGAAGGTTACCCACATAAACTTCATACGGATGAGGTGCGGGGTGGAACCGGTCGCCACCTCTGCCCGAATTTCCGCCGCGATAGCCACCACGGTCACCACCTCGGTATCCTCCGTTGCTGCCGCGTCGACGAGTATCAAGATTGGGAGGCACTTCGGCGTGGCCCCACCACACACTGTGCACAATGACACCGTCTGGGTTGCCGTTCTCGTCGCGAGTAGGAACTGTCAGAACGAGATTTTCGCCTTCACGGATTGGCACACGATGTTTAAATTCGTCTTGGAAGATTTCCTCAATAAACACGAGGAACCCAGTGGGTACAACCGTTAGACGTAGGGTGAAAGGCTCACCAAAAGTCAGTGGGAACCGAGGCAGCGGTTGCGAACAGCCCCAGCGACCGTCAATATTGCTATTCTGAATGATATGTCCTCCACGTTGACGGCGTGGGTTAAAGTGATATAGCACCGTTCCAGGATATGGCGCACCACTGAGCATACTCGATTGTGTGCTGACATTGAAGCAGCATCTTGACGATCTTGGTGGCAGTGTCGCGTGGATAATGAGCGTGTTATTCGTAGCGAACGCCACTTCCGGTAGGACCAAATCCAACGGAGTTCCTGTGGCCGAGTCCCAGTCTTCATTCCTCAGAAAACTCTCCAAAGGTAGTTGGATCGACGTGCGTCCTCCCTGGATTTTAATCTCGCCCGGCTTGTCGCTTTTAGTGCTCCTGACTCTTTTCACACTGTGCACGCCACCTACAACACTACCTGACCCCCCTCGTAGAATATCCGTCAAGGGGTTTATTCTCTTCACAGCCGTCGACGACGTCGTCCTTGTCCCACCCGTTTTCTTGGCCATCAGCAGCTTAGCTCTCTCCACCGCAGACATGGCGGGTTTGGCACCTGCTGCTACGGCACCAGAGGCTGTGGCCCCTCCCACTTTACTCACGGCCTTGGGGGACGCAGAGGCACCGGATGGAGCAGAGACGCTCAAGTCTGCATTCCCGCCATTAAAGGGGGCTGCGTCGGTCACTGATTGAAAGAGCTGCACTAGAAGGATCTCCTGTGCCGTAAGGTACTTGCCGCCGAAGGCCTCGAGCTGGAGATGCTGCTGCAGCTCGTTGAGCTCGTCGTCCTTGGCCGCCTCTACTGCCACTGCATCGTCCTTTGGCATCGTTGTTCACAATTCTGTGTTTTATTAATAAAAAACTTTTGCTTAGCAAAAAGAGTGTCACTTTAATTTTTTTTAAATTGTTTAGAACAACGTGAAACCGGTAAGGAGAGGGTCTAACTGATTGGTCTAAATTACAACTTAAGTATTCGGCCTACCAGTACGTCTGGTCGAAGTTTTAATCATAATCTGTACATGTGGGCAGATAGCGGAGAGAGTGTTTTTTTTTTAATTAAAATTAAGGAAAGGTTAGGAAAAGTTCCTATTTCGTGGACTCGATATTAATTTCAGAGAGACTCTTCCTGTAACGGGGTACGTAGCCCTAACTGTACCCCTCGTTACATTAAGTGTGGCACGTCATACTTCGGGATATTTGGTACACGGTACCAGGGTCGTCTGAGGCCAACCATTGGCTGATGACATTGCTTTTATATAGGTGACTTATAATTTGTATATTTAACTCAAATTTAGCCTACCTATAAATATACTCAGTTTACAACCTACCTTAAATTGGTCACTTCGCTCCGTTCACTGAGAGTTTGTATACTCTCGGAAGCCAACTTTCCTCTAGCGCAGGCAGAGCGAAGGTGCTGTGTGAACCCTTCACACTTGGTAGCACTCGTAGTCAATCCACACCAACGCGGGTAGACTACCTGGACCTCTCTGAAGCTCGTTGCCATGGATAGGAACGCATCTTCGGGATGGAGGCCCTGCAGAGCCTGGTGGCCTCAACACCGGCCGAGCAGCTCGAGCGCGTCAATGCGTTTGACGCTTACGAGCAGGGGCTCATCGCACATGTGCGGGAGAGCCTGCAGGCTCCGGAGGCGGAAACAAATCCGCCACGCCCGAAGCCAATACGGCTGAAGGTTAAGCTGTACCAAGGGAGGAAATGCCTTCACTTCTGGGTCCGAGAAGTAGAGCTCGCGATGGACGCGGATCTGATCTCGACCGAGCAACTTCGTGTTGCTTTTGCACTCTCCAACCTTAGCGGCCGTGCTAAGAGTACATACGGGAGGCAACATCCCCTGGATGTTTCACATCCTGGGCTCAGCTGTGTGAACATCTCCGAGCCGCGTTCCTCCCGGCGAACTACGAGTACCGCCAGCGTTCGCGCTTCCTCTCATGCAAGCAAGGGAGACGCGAGCTGCACGAGTATGTCCAAGAGGTACGAGCACTCACGGCGTCCCTAGTGGGAGACCCGTTCAACGAACACATCAAGATAACTCTATTCATGGACGGCCTTCGAGTGGGACCAGCGCGTTCTCAGCTGTTCCGGGTGCAGTCAAGCACCCTCGAAGAGGCGATCCAAGTGGCTCATCAGGAAGAATACAGCCATCGCCAGGCGCGCACGCCGGTAGCATCATGGCCTGGGAATTCTTTGTCGAATACCGGTCGAGCAAACCCCAACTGACCAGTTCCCATGGAACTCGGGTCGGCCGAGCAGCGCGACATTCGCTGTTTCGGCTGCGGGAAACTGGGCGACTTCAAGCGCGACTGCCCCGCGGAAATACTCCGCAGGCGGACCTTCCTCAAGCCCGTCCTCAAGGGTCGCTGGCAGAAGCCAGATTCCCGGGGACAGAGGAGCGCCGGAGACCTGTAGGGGCGAGGCGCCCTACTGGGCAGGATCTAAGTCTTCGTGAGGGGTGCGCGGGTGGTGCATACCACGGGGACTTAGTCCCTGAGAGTCTTCGTAGTCTCGATTCGGCGAAGAGCAGTGGCGGGCTGCGCATAGTACACATATGTGTACGGGGATACGATCACCCCCTTGGAGTCTTGATTGCTTCTGGGGCGTCTAAGAATCTCGCACGCCGGCAGACGGTTGCTCCTAATAGCAACAAGCTGTTCGATGCTTTGAGAGAAAGCACGGGCAACGGGACGGTGTCAGTGCGACTGGACGACGGGAAGCCGTCACTGTTCCCAACGTCCAAGTGGATCTGGCCGTCAAGTTTGAAGACTTTGACAGCCTCGAACAGCTTACTGTTCTCGACATGGTTGCCTACGATATGATCCTGGGCATGCCCGGAGTCGTCATAGACGTCGACGACTCCCAAGCATCTGCTGGATGCTTCGGTACCCTGGCAACCCTTGCGGGCGCCCCGGGTCCTGACAGAGGTGGGATCATGACTCACCAATGCTCTGTCGGACTTCGCAGGGCGGCTGGCACCGATTTCCTTGCCTCGCCAGTCGATCCGGGGATCGTGCTTTTCTAGCCAGAGGACGCTTCGATGGTGGCGGCGCCCAGAGAAGGCGCTGGCCAAGTGGATAACTTAGGTCCACAAGCGGGTAACATGGTTCCGCAGACAGCAGCAGCTGTCATGAACGTTGGTAATAGCGTGTTCAAGGTAGGTAACAGAGTTCCTTGCACGGTCGCCCTGATCTTAACTGAAGAGGAAGACGTCGGATTCGCTTTGTAACGGGGTTACATGGTGTGGAGCACACAGGGGTACGAAGTACCCGGAGAGTTAACAAACTCTCAGTACATAAGTTGGAGAGTTAACAAGGTTTCTCAGTACGTTGGCTGAAAGCCACACGTTATGCATTTGATTAGGTTTAACTATGCTAGATAGTTAAAGAGATACATTTACCCCTAGGCGGCTTGGCCGCAATAATAGTAAATAAAACACTTCTGGTTTTGAAGCATAAAAGTTAAGCTGTTAACTTTGAGCCCTGGTCTTGGACTGTAAGTGTCCTTTGGATAAGGAACTTAGTATTAGTGACTCTTTGAGTCGAACGTCTTCCTCTGACGCTAAAGCTATGGCAGCCCCGCTGCACTTGGTAGCACTTGTAGTCAATCCCGCTCCTGAGTCGGTTGACTATATCCTCTGCGAGGATGGAGCACCCCGTGTTCGCGAATTTGCCCCCGGCGCAGCAGGACGCGCTTACTAAGCTTATGTCCTTGCTTGGCCCGGAGGGCGTGGCTCATCTTGCATCGCAAGGTCCAGAGGCGGTCACTGCAGGCTGGAATCGTTCTCCCGCTACGAGAACGCGCTCTAGGAGCATGTGCAAGAGAAGATGAGCGCCGCAACGGCGGCGGCGTCGATGACGCGTGAAGAGTCTATGAGACTGAAACCGCTCATGGTGAGCGTAAAAACCTTCGAGGGGAAGGATGGAGAGAATCTCCTTCTCTGGACCCGTGAGGTCGAGATGGCCATGGGATCGGCCCTGCTCCAGTCTGAGCATCAACGCGTGGCGCTGGCTATCTCCAGGCTTGGAGGTCGCGCTCGCGAATGGGCACTAACGTGCGGCACGTCTGTTGACGCTGCATTTCCCACTTGGGATCAGCTGAAGCAACAGCTTTCGCGCTTGTTCGCGCCGCCTAATCAGGCGTACCGTATCCGGTCAAAGTTCCTTGCTACCCGCCAGGGTAAGAAGGATTTATTGGACTATGTCCAAGAGTTGAGAACTCTTATCGCCGGAATGGCGGCGGACCCTCTTCCGGAACTGGTCAGCGTGACCGTGTTCATAGAGGGACTTCGTGTGAGCGCAGCTCGAACGGAAGTGTTCCGTGTACACCCTTACTCTTTTGAAGAGGCGGTGGATGTGACATTGAATGCCGAGCACAGCTTCAGGTCGGCGCGACCTGGTTGGAGCGCTGGTAGCGCAAGCTCTTCGAGCGGTCCAGAGCCGATGGACCTCAGCTATGCTGAAGACGAAGAAGCGGAGCTTCTTGCTGCGGAGCAGCGCGCCGGCATCCGCCGATGCTTTGTGTGCAATAGCACTAAGCACTTAAGGGCCTATTGCCCTCTGCGCAAGAAGCGCGAGGCTCCGGCGAGCCAACCCTCCGGGTCATCGCCGGGAAACGGCAACTCCCAGTAGGCGCGGGGCGGCCTACTGGGGAAGAACTAAGTTCTGTTGTGCCTCGAAGAGGTAGAGGACAACGGGGCTCAGCCCCGAAGAGAGCTGAGCTCTCTTACGAGAAGAGTGTGTGCAAGCTGGGCTTGCTGGTCGTTTAAGCGAACGTGAAGGGCTTTGCAAAGCCATGGAGAGTCTTGATCGACTCGGGATCCTCGAGCAACTATGCCCGTCGCTCCACCCTGGAAAGGAGTCAGTTGTATGCTGAGGCACTGGAAGTGCCAACGAGAGATACGATCTGTGTCCGCCTCGCGACGGGGACACTGGAAATTGTGTCGAAGGTTTCTGTTGATCTTGGTGTGAATTTTGAACACTTCGATAGCGAGGAACGCTGTTTGGTCTTAGACCTGGGTGCGAGGTATAACCACATCCTTGGTATGGCATGGCTGGAACGCCATGAAGCCATGGATCGACTGGAAGTCGAAAACGCTGGGTGCGTCGCACCCTGCTCCTAGTGGAGCTTTGGTGAGTCATGAACCCACCTCTGTTAGGAAGCAGAAGCGCTTTTGGCGCGAGCACGAGGCCGAGGCGGCCGTAGTGCTGGACATTGGTATGTCCGAAATTGTTAGCAACGAGGTTGCTGTTTGCCCTGAGGGCGTACGTGGTGCGGCACGTTATCCGCGGAGCGGTGCAGGCCTGGTCGATGACTCACTGCTGCGTCCTGGTGAGGGCGAGCGCGGAGTGGCGCGTAATTCACTGAGTGGTATGAATCTGGTCGATGACCTACCGCTGCGTGACCCGAGGGTCGCGGTCGACTGCGAGTCGAGGCATCATGGGCGTGGCCCAGGAGATGCAGGTGAAGTGACACCTAGTTCACTGTGTGAAGGTCAAGAACCTCTTGGCTTTCAGCCGAGTGTCTTGCGAGACACTGTATCCTCTTCAAAGAGTGATGGTGCTGCTGCACCCGGTGGTGGTGACGGAGATGTCGCCACACCGCCCTCATCCGGCCGGGCTCGGTCGCGGAGGGAGAGGAGAAGAAGACGCAGGGCGTCTGTGACGTCTTCGACGTCGGACGATGTGTCCAACGTGACGAGCGGTGATGCTCCACGTGATTGCTGTGAACAGCTGTATACACTCGTGAACGGAGTGACGGGGGAGGTAGAAGGCGATATCAGCCTTGATACTCTGCCCGCTGCAGATGCTCTGCTAGA